AATTTTTAAGGAATTACTTTCTGCAGTGAATTCTTTCCTCAGTTCTTGTTGTAACTGTTTATTTTCATTTGGCCAATTCTGTTTTTTAAGGTGTTATTTTCTTTGGTGTTTTTTGTGCCTCTTTAACCAATTTGTTAATTATCTTTTTATAATTTTCTTCCTTTGCTCTCATTTCTTTACTTAATTTTTCCTCTAACACTTATTGATTTTTGTTGGGTTTGTGTCCACTTCAGATTTTCTTTGAGGCTTTCCTTGTAACTGTTTTGACTTCAGTGTCTTTCTTCTGAGTTTTCATAGTAACTTTTTAATGGTCAGGTTCTTTTTTAATTGTTTGCTTATTTTTCCATGCTATTGCTTGATTTGGAACTTTTTTTAAAGTTGAGCTTTGTTCCTGGCATGGAGAGTGGAGGGGGCACAGGCTTTTTCACACTGCTGTTTTCAGAGGTACTTCTGGGGGTTTGGAAGTTTTTGGTGCTTCCAAGGTGGTGTGATTTGGGGAGAGGTGTGGTCACTGCCTTCCTGGTGTGCACTCTGGCCCTTACCCAGGAAGGGCCTCTGATCCCTTAGGATTGTATCAGTGCTCCTTTCAGATTCATAAGATAGTTATGTTCCTTGACAGTTTTCTCAAGGTTAATCAGCCCTTGTTCCTTCATCTGTTTTTCATACAGCATAGTCTTTTAATGCTTCAGTATTTGGGCTGCCTTCCTTGGGACCATGAATGTACAAATGCCATTCCTAGAGCATGATTCCCAGAACTAAACATAATAACTGAGATGTGGTTTAATATGGTTTATGTTTTTGTCCAAAGTAATCATTTTTTATTGTGAGAGGATCTAAAATAAGATTATTACATAATTTGTATTGATTACAACTTGGTATTCTCTTCTCTCTAGGTTTTCCTCCTGCCTATCTGACTGCTCCTTCTCTCTCTACTTTGTAGGCTCCTCCAGATCATGCTCCCTAACCACAGGTGTCCCTTGGGGTTCTGTTCAGGGTCTTCTCTTCTCCCTACTTCATTTGATGATCATCAGCTCCCATGGATTTAATTACCATCTCTATGCTGATAATTCTCAAATCTACCTTTCTTGCCTCAGTCTCTCTGCTGACCTCCAATCTTGAATTTCCAACTTCCTTTTAGACATCTTAAATTCAATATTTCTAAAATAAAACTCATTGTCTTTTCCTCACCCACCCTGCCTCTTAATTTCTTATTCTTATAGAGGCCAGCACCATTCTTCCAGTCCTAGGCTTGCAACTTAGAAGTCATCCTGAATCTGTCTGCCCACGTCTCTTCCTACTCTAACCCATCCTCCACACAGTCACTAAAGTGATTTTCCTAGAATGCAGGTTCAGTGGTATCCCTACCCCCCCCACTCAGTAAAATTAAGTAGCTTCCTATTGCCTCCAGGATCAAATACAAAATGCCTTTTCTGGCATTCAAAGCCTTTTATAACCTGGTCCCCTCTTATCTTTCCAGTCTTCTTACATCTTAATCCCTGACATGTACTCCTCCGTCCAGTGACACTTATTTCCTGGCTGTTCCACAGACAAGATACTCCATTTCTCCACCAGGGAATTCTCTCTGGTTGGCCGCCATGCCTAGAATGTTCTCCCTCCTCTGCTCCAACCACTGACCTCCTGACCTTCCTTTTTTATTCAGTCATTCAGTTGTATCTGACCCTTCATGACTTCATGCCAGTACTGACTATAGGGGATTTTCTTGCCAAAGATACTGGAGTAGTTTGCCATTTCCTTCTCCAGTAGATTAAGGCAAACAAAGGTTAAGTGAGTTGCCCAGGGTCGAGTGTCTGGGGCCAGATTTGCACTCAGGTCTTCCTGACTCCGGGCTCAGTGCTCTATCCATTGAGTCACCTAGCTGCCTTGCTTTCCCTTTGTTGTTCTTCAGTTGGATCTGTCTCTTTGTGACCCCATTTGGGGTTTTCTTGGCAAAGATACAGTAGTGGTTTGCCATTTCCTTCTCAGATGAGGGAACTGAGGCAGTTAAGGTTAAGTGATTTGCCCAGGGTCACACAGCTAGTAAGTGTCTGAGGCCAAATTTGAACTCAGAAAGATGAGTCTTCCTGGGTCCAGGCTTAGTGCTCTATCCACTGGGCCACCTAGCTGCCACCTTCCTTTAGGTCCCAACTAAAATCCCACCTTTTTCAGAAAGTCTTTCCCAATGCCTCTTAACTCCAGTGCCTTCCTTCTGTTAATTATCCCCTATTCATCCTGTCTATAGTTTTTTTTTTGCAGTTATTTTTCAGTCATGTCCAACTCTTCTTGATCCCATTTGAGATTTTCTTGGCAAAGATACTAGAGTTCTTTGTCATTTCCTTGTCCAGTTCATTTTACAGATGAAGAAACTGAGGCAACCAGGGCTAAGTGACTTGTCCATGGAAACGTAGCTAGTAAGTGTTTGAGGCTTGCATTCTGTCCACTGTGCCACCTAGATGCTTTGTATATGTTTGTTTACATATTTTCTCCCTCATGAAATTCTAATCTCCTTGAGGGCAGAAACTGTCCTTAGCCTCTTGTTGTATCCCCAGGACTTAGCATAGTGTCTGACACATAGTAGACAATTAATAAATGTATATTGATTGATTTACAGTTGTGCATGTGATTGACTTAAACGTAATAACATTTCTTTCTCAATGCCATGATAACAATTTAAAAGGAAACAAACCAACCCAGGTTAGAAAATGGAGCAAGTCAAAAACTCTAGTACTTTTCAGAATGGGACCAGGTCTGCACTTCTGCCTGGGTGAGATAGGAAGTTTCCAAAAAGAAAAAACAAAGAAAACTTTATAGAGTCTTGCATATGATAAAGCTAAATACAAATTTAGGGCTAATTTCTTAGAAAAGGCAATGCAGTAAAGCTGATAGAGGGCTAGTCTTGGAGTCAGAAAACTTGATTCAAGGCCTGCCCTGACACATTCTAGCTCTCTAACCACAGGCAATAATCTCAGTGCACCAGGCAAATCTCTGAAACTGCAAATTACAGATAAGTTTCTTATCTGCATTAGCAGAGGGAGATTTTAGAATGCAAAATACCAATGAAATCATAGATCCAGATATCCCTTACACACATCACACACACACACACACACACACACACACACACACACACACACACACACTCTCTAACCCCTTCTGTAAATAAGGAACAGCTTTAGTAGTTTTATTAGGTAATTATCTTGTTTTGTTGTCAAGTATAATCCTTTGCACAATTAGAAAGATACTAAAAATATTGACTGAAGCTGGTTGAGTCTCCATGGGAAATGAAAAGATACATAATTCAGAGTTATTTGTGAAATTCACCAACATTATCTGTCACTGATAGGGAGTAATATTTTAATAGACCAAAGAGATCTCAGTCCAAACAAATATATCCTTTAAATCACAATTCAAATGCTACAACATCCACAAAACTTTTCTTTGTTCCTCTAGTCAGGAACAATCTTCCTCCCGCAGACCTTAAATTATACTTGGTTTGCACACTTATGTTTTATATTGGTTAATTTTTGCATATTTCCTATTCTTTTACTAAACTGTAAGATGTGTCAGGGCAAGAATTCTTTCTTTGTACCTCACTAGAGCCTAATTTGATACTCTGAATATAGTATCAACTTAATAAATTATGTTAGAATAAATTGATAACAGAAATATAAATGTGACTCAAAGAAATGAATTTATTTAAACTTATCTCTTTTCTGGCCAAAGATCTCTTAAATTCTGATACACACACACACACACACACACACACACACATGCATACACACGCATACACACATCTGCTCTGAGTTCTGGTGTAATATATATCCAAGGTTGTCAAAATTATTCCTTTTTTTCTTTGTTTCTTTTTCTTTCCTCCTCATTTCTTTCTTTCCTCCCCCTCATTTCTTTCTTTCTTTGTTTCTTCTCCTCTTCCTTTTCCTCCTCCTCCGTTTCCTTTTGGAGTTTTCATTCTCCTGAGGGATAAAGTGTGTAAAAGGTTAAATTAAAAACAGGCTAAAGGAAAGAGTGAGCATTGACAATTCAAGGAAAAAGGCAAGGAAGGCTTTTCACAGGAAGTAGTACCTAAGGTGAAACTTGAAGGAGGGTAAGGATTATAAGAAGTAGGAATGAAGAGGTAGGGGGTACATTACAGGCAGGAAGGACAGCCTCTAGGAAAGCACAAAAGCTAAAGATAACATGCCAAATCTGGGGAATGGCTAGTATAGCTGGAACTTACAGTGCCTAAAGAGGAATCATGTGAAGTAAGTGTGGTTAAGCCTAGAGCCATATTGCGAACAGCTTTAAATGCTAAACTGAGTGAGGTATTTTTATTTTATTCTAGAAGTAATAGGGAACTGGTGAAGGTTCTTGAACACAGAGTGACATGGAAAAACCTGTGCTTTAGCTGGCTTATTTTGCCAGTTTTGTGGAGTATAGGTAGGAGAGGAAACAAACTAGAATCAGAGAAAACAGTTAGGAGGCTCTTGCAACTGCCTAGGTGAAAGGTGATAAGTGCGTGAACTAGAGTTGTGACTGTGTTAGAGGAGAGAAAGGAACAGGTGCAAGAGATATTGTGGAAGTAGAATTAGTAAGCCTTGGCAGTGATTGGAGGTAGAGAATGCCTTCCCTCTGATAGCATTTCTAAGTGACATTTTTTCAAGAAGAAAAATTTTCAAATAATTTTCCATTGTAAATTTGTAATTATTTATAATTAACAATGTGATTTTGATTGTTAAAAATGTGTATCTCTTACACATTGTCAAATCTTGTGTTTAGCCAGAGAGTAATAACCTAATATCTCATGTTACAAAGGAATGAAAAAAGCATACAGATAAAAAACTGAGATTTCCTAGAATGCAGTTCTTTTCATGGAGTCACCTTTTCAGGCATTAACCCTGCAAAACCATGACTGAACTGTGCACTTGGCCAAATCTTAAATAATGAATTAATAAACGGAACATGCCTCATTGTTTTTATAGTAATGCATTGAATTTTTCCCTTCACAGAGCTTTATTGGAAGGAGAAAGTAACCCGGAGATACTAGTATGGACTGAGCACATACAGAATGTTCCACGAGGTATAAAGCAAAAATTTCATTTTTTCTTTTTAATAGGATTTTTTAATGATATATGGTTCATTTATAATTAGGTAGTAATAATTTAGAATACTATTGAAATGGATAAAATACTAAATTCAAACTAAAATGTATTAAATATTTGTAGCATGATGTGGTGGATAAAAGGCTGCCCTTGGAGTCAGTAAGTCTTGGGTTCAGGTTCTCCCTTTGTCACATATATGCTGTATACTCCTGGGCAATTCACAATTCTACAGCACCCTAAGCAATGCTCTTAATGTATAATGGACCTGGTAGCCATCTGCGTCAGTAGGAAAGTTTTCTTATTAAGAGGTCCCTATATCATCGAACTTGCAGGTCTGTCTACCCCCTTTCCAAAAAATATATGTGGCATTGTATGAGGGAGTGTGCATACAAAATTGAAAGAAATTGACATAGTCCCTGCCTTCAATGAGCTTATAATCTAGTAGAGAAGATAAGGCATGTGTGCATACAAAATTGAAAGAAATTGACATAGTCCCTGCCTTCAATGAGCTTATAATCTAGTAGAGAAGATAAGGCATGTGTGCATACAAAACTGAAAGAAATTGACATAGTCCCTGCCTTCAATGAGCTTATAATCTAGTAGAGAAGATAAGGCATTTGTGCAAACACATTTACATAAATAATATGATAAAGGTACAATTTCATAAAGGCAAAAGAAAGATCCAGACAAAATACTTTAAAAAAATGTTAAGAACTAAATTATCTAAAAAACTGAACCTTATCAATTTTAGGTGCCAAAACTTTTTTTTATTTCAAAATGCTTTGATTTACATCTTTCTAGAATGTTTTATACAATGTTTTGTACCCCTCTTCCTTCAGTCACCATGGTAGAAAATAAAGGGAAAGATGGTTGTAGCCACTGTTTGATCATTTTGCTCCCAACTTGGCCATGTATATCTCTTGGCAAATAGATTCTGTAGTCTTTTCCTCCCTGCACAACACTTACATGGGAGAGAGTGCTCAGGGTTTCATAGAACCCCATCATAAGCACTACCTGCAATTAGTAATAATGAATTCTGTTTGGGTCAGTTCAATACATACATACATAAATCACACTCTTTTGTGATTGGTCCTGAGCTTATCATGGATTGGCCTCCCTAACCACTCCTTGGAAAATATTCCAAGAACAAAGTACAATGGGCTGGAGTGTTAAGGACTTGGGCTTCTTATTAGATCAGACATTTTTCAAATAAGGGGACTCTCAGGGATAAAAATAGGAAGAGATTAAGAAGCCTTAAGAAATCTGCAATGCAGTTAATTTCTAGAAGACAACAAAGCTATTGAAAACTATGACTAAGAAGAAAACATAAATGGTGATTATACAGTGTGATTTAGATGCAATTTTTTAAATTTAGTAATTGTTCTATGCACTTTGCACATATAAAGATTTTTCCAATTTAAATGATTGGGATGGCTATTGAAATGGACAAAATATTCATTTCAGTTCAACAAATATTAATATTAAATGCCTGCTTTGTGCAAGGTACTGTCCTAGGGGTTAGATATACAAAGATGCAAAATGACACAACTCTTGTCTTCAAAGAGTTGATATTCTACATATATGCTGCTAAAATGAGCACTAAAAAGTTTATAATCCAGTAGGGAAGATGCAAGTAATTTTGATCTAACAGAATTTTGTGAGGATAAAAGCAGACTACACTAAGCACTGTAGGATGTTATGATGAGAGAGAAATTATTTTTCTCTAGGGAAATCAAAAGTAGTTTTAGAGAGGAAGTAGTAGTGACTATGCTCTTTCCTATAGAAAAAGAGAAATAACAAAAGGAGGAGATAACATACATGCTAGTCACTGTGTGAGTGAACAGAGGTGCAATTTGGCTGGAGTTGGTAAGCTGGACCTCAAATGCTAGGCTAAGCAGTTTGCACTATATCTAGGAGGTAAAAGGGAGCTCACTGGTTTTCAAGCAGCTGAGTGACATAGGCAGACTGTACATTAGGAAGATTATATTGATAGTTTTGTGAAGGAGAGGTTGTATAGAGTAGAGACTATGCTTGAGACTACCATTTGGAGATTTCTCTTGGAGTCTAAGTGATAAGGTCCATCTAAGGTGGTTGCAGTGAGAATTGAAAAGGAGACAGGAAATGCGAGAACATTTGTCTAGTCAGAATTGGTAAGACTTGGCATTTGACTAGATGTGGGAATGAATTAGAAGAGTCAAAGATAACTGTGAGATTCTAAGCCTTGGTAGAAGGGAGGACAGTGCTGCCATCAATAGAAATAAGGCAGTTGAGAGGAGAAGGTTTAGGGAAGATGAATTTGGTTTGGGATATAGTAAGTTTGGTGTCTCAGCAGGACATCTTGATGGAGATGATCAAGGCAGCATGATGTAATGGGTAAAGCAATAGATTAGGAAGAGTCTAGGAAGAACTGGGTTCAAATCTCACCTCATTACACTTATTATCTGGTTGACCCTGGGCAAGTCACTTAATCTATCTATACCTCAGTTTTTTTCCATTTGTAAAACAAGGAGTTTGACTCAATCTAAGTTTCTTTTCAGCTACAAATCTGTGATCCTGTGACCAATAGATAGTTGGGAATATGCTTAGATATATAGATTTTGATATTGTATTCATAGAGAGGATAAGTGAAGCAATTTAAGTGGATGAGATCATCAGTAAAAGAGTTTAGGGAGAAGAGAGAAGCCCAAGGACAAAACTTTCTGGAGACATCTTCAGTTAGTATATAGGAGGACAAAGATGATCCAGCAAAAGATTTGTCAGGTAGCAGGACAACCAGGAAAGATTAGAGTTAGGGAAGCTGAAGGAGGAAATTTTCAGCAAGGCAAGAATCAATAGTTTTAAATCTGGAGATTGGCAAGGAGGATGAGGTTTGAAAATAGGCCATGGGGTTTGACAATTAAGAAGGTAATGTGATATCAGAGAAAGTAATTTCAGCAAGAGGGGTGGGGATAGAAGCTGGATTTCTGGGAATTGAAAAGTAGAGTAGATAGTGAGGTGGTAGAAACAAAACATATGAATTATGGTTTCCAGAATTTTTGTGGTAAACTGGGGGATGGATATGTATAATATACCTTGAGAAATATGGGAAATTTATTTTTAAAGGATGGGTGTGATTTGAACATGTTTGTAGGCAAAAGAAAAAGAGTACAGAGAAAGAAACTGAAAATTAAAGAAAGGGACTGATTGGTTCCAGAGGAAATGGAAATGATGGAATCAAGGGTGCAACTGGAGTTACATATTTGACTAGACTCAGAGGAGAGCAACCTTGTCTTCTGAGTTTGGAAACAGGAAAAGAATGGATGAGGACAGCTGCCCTCAAAATGAAAAAAAAAGAATTTTGCATTGTTGTATTTTGAGATTTACTTGAATTATGGATGACATGCTTCTATGCATATGCTTACTGGCTTTTATGAATACTGATATATGTAACACATGTAATGTGTAACATATTTGGTAACATTAATATGTATAACATATATATAACACATGACACACAGTCCAATTCTATGAAAAACAGGTAAAATTATGCCAGGGAGCATGTGAAACATTTTGAATGTGATAAATGTGGAAAGGCTACGGGCAAAGGGGATATCCTGTTATTATACATCAGAGAATGAGGCTTCATTTTGTTGTTGTGGATTACCTCGTTTGTCACTCAGAATAAAATGAAATAAAAACAAAATTAAAACTGAGGACATTGAAGAGTTGATTTATTATTTCAGTTCAATCACTGTTACCTCTTAGCTATTAGGGTATTGGGACTATTATAAGTATAGGGGCCAGTGGAACCTCTGAAAGTAAAAACACTTGTTCTCATTCAGTGATGATACTACTGATAGGTATTGCTGTTCACAGGCACATACGTGTGTGTGTGTGTGTGTGTGTGTACTCAATGTTGCCTCAGAAACATTATCTAATTTGGCTTAAACTTTTGGATTATTTCTTTCCTGTGTTGGATTTTCCAAATCCTTCTGTTACCGTATGTTCTCTTTCCCAAAAGTCCCCTCAAGAAGATAGATTTCCCCATAGGGCCATATTTTGTTGAACTATCATTACCTGGTAGAACAAGACTGAGAATCTCTCAGTAAGGTAGGATCTGACCTTGTCAAATAGATTTCTATCTGAATATTTAGCTGTAGCGTTTGGAAATTTACTTATTAAGCTGTTTATCATAATTTATCAAAAATTGTCTTAGGTTCTTTTAGAAATATGAAAATGTATAATGCCATTTAATCATTAGTGTTTAGTATAGTAGGAAGAGTAATTAGTATTTAGTAGTAGTAATTAGTATTTAATAATAAATAATTTAATTAAAACCCCTATCATTAGAAAAACTGTTTTTTTCCCCCACTAAAACTGAATGTAAACAAAATGTACCCAATTAGGAAAAGCTGATGAAATTATAAAAGCTGTCTCATCTGTGGGTTTTCCTTTTTCATTTGCACATAGTAAGTTCTTAATTAATATTTGTTGACTTAATGAATACATGGTAATTCAAGAGAAACATACTTTTAAATTAATTTATTCAGATTACCTATGCCTTTTGACATCAAGACTGAAAAGGTTTTCAATCATATGGAGAAAGTACAAGGAGTGTCACTTTTTTTTTAGTTTGTTTCTTATCGTTGTTTCCTAACAGAATTAACTGTTTCCATTTAAAGTATTTTATCTTAAAAAAAAGCGAAACCCTTACCCTATCTGGATTTCTACTTTTCCTGGTTAGCAGTGGCTTTGATTTGAGGTTTATCACAATTGGTAAGCACTGTTATGTTTTTCCTCATGCAGATTCTATGCCCCATAAATAATTGTTGTATTGTTGTTGTTGTTAGAGTAAGTGAATGCTAGAAGAACATGATTGAGGAAATGCATTTTTTCATAGTGAAATTATTTGTAATTTTGAATTTAATTACAGCAGTTCGGTAGTATAGTTATTATGAGGTATTAGCTGGGATTTGGAAATTTTTGTGTTTGATGCAAGTTGTTTAGCTCTCCCCTCTCCCTGGTCCTATGAGGTATATACGGTTAGAGAAAAGCAGATAGAGAGTGACCATGGAATACCCATGAGTGTAGCTGCGGACTCCAAAGGAATTCTACTAAGGCCTGTATTTAGCTTTACTTAACCTGCACAAAATTTGTCAAATTCAATATAAAACTGCACAAAACTGGGCCATTTTGTGGCTGGGTTATTATTGTCTTGAAAGTGCCAACTTTATGGGAACAATAAGTAAGTAGCCTTATTTTCCCAAGCTAGACAAAGGTGAATGTCCCAAAAGTTTCAGTTAGGCAGACCAAAAATAAACACATCTTCTCATACCCTCCTGGTGTAAGTGAAAAATCCGCATGGTTTGTATATTATTCAGTAAACTCTGTAATTAGATCATCTTAGTGTAAAGATTTGTCTCTGTCCTTGAAATACTGAACCTGACTTATATAACATTATATTGATTTTTTTGGTATTATATTACTTTTTTTTTTTTTTGCTTTTCAGTGAGGCAGTTGGGGTTAAGTGACTTGCCTAGGGTCACACAGCTAGTGACTGTTATGTGTCTGAGTCTGGATTTGAACTCAGGTCCTCCTGATTCCAAGGCCAGTGCTCTATCCACTGCACCACCTAGCTGCCCTGGTATTATATTACTTTTAAGATAACAGTACTATGACTATAATCATTTTGGTGCATTTTCTGCTTAATTTCCTCAGAAATCAAGAATATACCATGCCAGTATACCAATTCCATATTACAAAGAGAAAACAAACGGAATATATTCTCCAGGGAGAAAATAACCTCATCAAATAAAAACATCTCAGCACCGTATGCAAATCGATCAACATTCTTTGGACCACAGGCTACAATAGTAACTGGAAGTGCTCCAAGAAAAGATTTCCTGGGTCCAAGCTATTCTTCTTCTTCCACTCTTAGACAAGAAACCTTGTATGAAAGAACCGCAAAAGATCATAGTGAGCTCAGAACACTTCCTACAACACATGGCCTTTTAAGAAGTGCAGAACCTCAGGTGAAAGTGATTCCTGAAAGACAGAAAACAGAAAACAGAAGTAGCATCACCACATATTTAACCAAAGAATCGGCAAGTGCCCAAAGACCTAGCCAACAACATAAAGATGTAAGGACAAGCACATCGGCAAGCACTCGATCACGTGAAATAAGTGTTCTTCAGGGAAAGAAAACAGAGGAGAGAGCGTCTACAGAGGAGAAAAAACATAAAATGGAACTAACTAAACCAAGACAAGAGGAGAAAATGTTTGACTCTAAAGAAAAGGCTTCTGAGGAAAGAAATTTAAGATGGGAAGAAATGACTAAACTAGATAAGGAAGCAAGAGAGAGGGAAAGTATGCAATTGAAGGGAAAGGCTAAAGGAGGTGAATCAACCAGGGAGAGAACCACAATATTTGGAGAAAAAAGAGAAATACAGATACCTGTTAGCTTTGAGGGGCAAGGGCATGGAAAAACACCACAAGATATCGAAGTAGAATTATCAGTAAAAGATGTACAAACATTTAAAAAAGAGGATGCCGGTGATAGTAAAACTAAATGGACAGATGAGAGAGGGTTGAAGTTCAAGGTCAATACTAGTGATGCTGTTGATTCCGCCAAAGATTCCACAAGAAAAACTGTAGCAGAAAATATTGTTTCCAGTATTCTTCAGCAGTTTGTGCAGCCTTCTGATATGGAAACATCTGCTGGTCCTTCTCTGGATACAAAAGTCACTTACATGGAAAGGAAAGAACTTCCTGGTGATGGGAAGGCAAAGACTGAGATTATTGTGGAGTCTAAATTGCTTGAAGAGATAGATGTTTCAGATGAAGACAGCCTGAAGCATCTCTTAAGCAAGGGTGCTAAGGAAGTAGAGATTAAAGGGAAATCGGCAGAAAGCATGATAGGAGATATAATAAATCTTGGCCTGAAAGGAGGAGAAGGGAGAGCGAAAGTAGTTAATGTTGAGATTGTTGAAGAACCACTGGGATATGTAACTGATGAGAAGGTTGACTTTTCAACACCATTTGAAGTAGAGGAAGTAGATGATGTCTCTCTAGGCTTAGAGAGGCATTACAGTGATGAGGAAGGTGATGAAGAACCAAGTATTGCCTTCTCAGGTAATCAACTTAAAAAGACAAAGCAACCTCATCAGAACGTAACTCACTTTGAAGAAGTAACTGAAGCAGGTGACTCTGAAGGGGAGCAGAGATACTTTGTTTCTACTCCAGATGAGTATTCTGGGAGTTATGACAAAGATGAAGATTCTGTGTATGGGCAAATTCATGTTGAGGAAGAATCAACTATCAAGTATTCTTGGCAAGATGAAGTTTCACAGAGCACGGAGAAAAGGAGAAAGAGAAGCAATTTGCCTGGAGATGAATTTTCAAGTACATCAGAAATCTTTTCTCCAGAAGAGGATGTGGATTTCAGTAACCAGAAGGAATACCCAAAAGGTGACAAATTACATGCTGAATCCATTGTCATTGAAAAAGAAATTAAAATACCCCATGAATTCCAGACCTCAATTAAGGAACTCTTCTCCAAAGATCCCAAACGTCAGTTGGTAGAGACAATTGGGCAGCTGGAAGGGAGCCTTCCTGAAAGTGTGAGAGAGGAGCTGTCTGTCCTCACTAAGGAGAGTCAGGGGGATGCTGGCAATATTTCAGTTAAAAAACTTGAGAAAACCACTGATGGTGGATCAGTCACGATTGTTGCTGAAGTCAATCTCTCGCAAACCCTTGATGCAAATCAGTTTGACCTGGAACAACTAAGTAAAGACAACTCTAGCAAAGTAGAGAAAATATTACAGTCAACAGTTGTAGATAGTTTTGAAAAACACCAAGCCCAGGAACCCGAAAGCCCAGATAGTAAAAGTGGTATAGAAGTTTCCGGTTCCGGTATTAAATCCAAGCGTTGGGCCAGCAGAGAAATGTACAGTTCATCTAGTGCCAGAGATGGTGGTGGTGGAGAACATTATACTGCTGAACACGTTTTTTGCCAAGGTCCAGTTTCTGCAACTGTGGAAGTTAGCAGCCCAAGAGGTTTTGCTCAATCACATGTCTTAGAGGACATAAACCAGTCTGTAAGGCATATTAAAATAGGCCCTACTGAAATTCAGAGGACGGAGCAAATCTTTTATGAAGGACCCACTTCAGAAGTGGTAGAGGTAAGTGTGGGGGGATAACTTAATCAGATAGTGGGTTTCAAAAGTACCAGTAGGTCTGTGAGACATTCTAAGTTGGGTCTTAAAGAAAATCAATTGGCTGACGAAATCATTTCTAAAGGTGTTTTCTCTACATCTCAAGACATGGGTGGCACAGAAGGTCTTAGGAAGAATTTTCCAAAGATACTTACAACTCTTTAAGACAATTTTTATTAGGTTCCAAATAATTTCATACTAATCAAGAAGTTATTTTACATGGGTCCATTTCTGAAGCAGGTAAATTTGGAGGAACCAGAGATCATTCCCAGACAGAAGGGTCAGTAGGCACCCAGAATTCTGTGGGGCTCCTTAAATTAGATCCCGAAGAAGTATATACCAAACAGATTGTTTTCAGTGACCCTCTCTCTGACAGGAAATTCAGCCTCAAAGGAGATAATTCTCATATAGAAGAGTCATCAGATAGTACACCAGTCAGGCACATTAGAATTAGTCCCCAAGAATTTCAGACAACTGAACAGATAGTTCACCATGGGCCAATTTCTCATAATAGAGAGTTTAGTGAATCTGGAGGCATTTTTCATACAGCTGGTTCCTCAGACACAAACAGATCCATAAGAAATTACAAATTAAGTCAGAAAGAGGCTCTTGTGTTTGAGAAAAATACTTTCCAGTTTATCTCTCAATATCCAAAGGAAGGTATTGCAGGAGATGTATCAGAGGCAGCAATAACATCAAGTGTTAGCTGACCTTTCAGGCACATTCACCTAGGCCCCACAGAAACTCAAACCATTGAAGAAATCATCTTCCATGGGTCCATTTCTAAAACTTTCATACTGACAGGCTCAGGTGATATCTCTGAGCCAGAAGGGTTAGTAGAGAGCAGCCAGTCTATACAACATATTAAACTGGAGCCCAAAGAAACTTCGTTTACTTTTCAGATGGATCTGACTAATAGAGAAGAAACCCCCAGCACTGCTAGAGGCACACGAGAAACTACCATATTCTTTCCTGCAAGGAAGGAAGCAAAACTTCACATTTCGTCTGATGATGGTGACTGGAGAGACAATGAAAGCAAAAAGGACAGAGAAGCAAGTGTGAGTTTTCAGGTTTCTGCTGCTCAAGATAACCAGGCTCATGGCGAACAAGTCACAGAGAAGGTTAAGTTTGATAAAACAGTACAGCTACAGAGAATGGTAGACCAAAGGTCAGTGATTTCTGATGAAAAGAAAATTGCTGTCCTCTATCTAGACAAGAAGGAAGAGGAGGAGGAGAATGATGGACATTGGTTTTGAAATTTCAAACAGATTGAGTTTTAATAGCATCTTATACAGTACTTTAACCAACACACTTGATAGTTTTAATTGACTCATTTTTCAAAGGAATTCACAAGTTGGGATTGCTTATCCTAAACCCTTTTTGTTGCATAAATTAATTGAAAAAAGAGAACTCCTAACACTTTAAATTTACTTCATGGAGGAGTCATATTAATATGTAGCATATTTTGAAATTTTGAGAATTTTGAAAAAAATAACTATTTATTTCTCTAATCTTTAAGAGTTTTTTAACTGGAGTTTTCTGTCCATTACCTAAGATAGTTTATCAGTTTTGTCCTTGGCCATGGAAATGTCAGACATCTATTTAAATGAAAAGCTCTTATCTATAAGTAAGATGCTTAAGAATAACGATATTAAAATAACATTTAAGGGTTAATTCATTTGCATGTGCTAATATCATATAAGCTAACATTCTAGGGAAAAATAGACAATTAACTTGAGTGTCTTTGCAAGAGACAACATTGCACTTTTAGGCTTAGCATAGACAGTTTTACAGGAAAAGAATTATAACTATAAATTGCTGTTGAGTTCATTATTTTCAGGAAAACATTTAATTTGCCATAAAAGGAAAATTCTGTTCTAGGATGTGAACCAACAGATTTCAATTTTCCTTACTTTAAAAATGTCATATTTATTTATAGAGTGACCAACTAAATATTCCATTGCAATATTTTTAGTCAGTATGCCTGTTCTGTATTGTAAAGCTTTAAGGAATTGAAAGACTAGAAATGTGTATAGGTTATAGTGTATGGGGTGTTCAGGGAGCATAAAGACAGTCAAGATGTTTTGTTTTGTAGCTTTGTGCCACTGGTTCCATCATAACCCTAGCATAGGAAAAGCTTAGTTCAAATCATATTGTGCTTAAACTTCTCTTTACTTTTATGAAGTTCACAGATCCTCACATTCAACACCAACAAACATTTACTAAGCATCTATCTATTTTGTGCAAGGTCACGAAAGACAGATGAACAAAACATGGTCCCTGCACTCAAGGAGTTTATAATCTATTTAGTTAATTCAGTTCAATTCTTCATACATACACTAGCGATATAAGAGGTACAAAGATAATTCTGATATAATTAGCATAAATGCCTATAACACGAGGGGGTATAAACAAAGTATTAAAAAGTGGCGTGGTACTATAGAAAGTACACTGGATTTGGAATTGGAAGGCCGGGGTTCAGTTCTGCATTCTACTACTTATTAGCTTAAGTGACCTTCAGCAAGAGATGTAACCTCAGTGAATTGTAGTTTTATCATCTATCAAATGGAGATTTTATATGCCAACTAAAAGGATTTTTGTGAGGAAAAGACTTTGAAGTAGAATATGCTATATCAGTGTCAGGTATTACTATTATTTTTGTAGAAGGAAGTTTGACTGGGCTTCAGTCAAACGATATTAATGATATTCATTTAAAATGTATATGAAATGAACCTATAATATGACATCATATATGATATAAATGATACTAATGTGGAAACAAAACATTAGGTGAAAGGTTGGCAGTGTAGTTGTAAAAAGTAAAATATTGTACCTTAAAGAAGTGACAGTCAGATGGCAAATCTCTTTCACTACCATTACTCAGGTCTTTTCCTTTCCAAACTCAAAGATGAATAAAGGTGGAGGTTTTGCATTTTGAGAAGAAATAAATAGTAATTAGTAATTTTGTTCAAGAAAGTAAGTAACTTATGTTAAAAAATTTTAAAAATTGAGGGGGGTTGGTGGGGGAGCAATTGGTAGCAGCTCCTAGATCACAGTGTAGTACAAACTCACTGGGGAATGATGCAGTAGGTTTGAAAATGCTCCATGCTGTAGACTGAGGAGATGTATATGTGTACAGATAAGATAGAGTGGAGATAAAGATGTGATAATCACTGAGTTTTTAGTGGCTCAGCTTTTATCATATGCCCTAATGATACGATTCAAAAGCTGCTATCTTTAAAGGTACAAGGGTATCTCATAAAATAATCTCTCCAGCAGCACACGGTCGTAACATCAAGAAAAACAATCAATATTTTAAACAAGGAGACAGGTTGCTTTTTCCTTATGTTTCTTGTGCCTTTTGCATTGGTTCCATGGAACTGTGTTGGATAGGAGTAAGATATTAGGAATAAAGGCCTAAGTGCAATTTCAACTTCAGTGCCAAATTATCTTGAGTTTTGGTTGTAATTGCATTTCAAATTAGATTTACCATGTTCAAATATTTTAATCTAAAATGTGTGTATGATCATAGAAATCATGCTTTTAATCACTTTAAGGTATCCTTTTAGAACCATTTTTTTGATAGCTGAAACATAAGATTTATGAAAAGTCATTTATCCTAATCTGCTTATTATAGAGAGATACATATTAAATGAGTCCAGCTTTTAAGATGTTTTTTTTTTAAATAGCCCTCTCTGTATAAATGGAAGTAGAGAAAGGTGGATAATTACTTTGAATTGCAGTGTTTTATTGCATTCTTTTTCTTTGGCATAGAATCATAGGCTTTAGAGCTAGCAAGGGCCTGAGAGACCATTGAGTTCAACCCCATCATTTGGTGGATGATAAAAATGAGGCTTAGGAAAGTCAAATGACTTGCCAGATGTCACCTAGGTGGTAAAGCAGTAGCAGAGCTGGAATTGGGATCAGAAGCTGGATCTCCTGACTTCAAACCCAGTGTGCTTTCCATTTGCCACACTGTCTCTCGTGTGGCCTGGAATGAAATGACAATATAGCTCATTATTCTAGAATCAATTCTCTGCTTAAAAGTTTTATTTCAAAAGTGTGTGAGAATTTTAGTTGCAGTTTGTACTATTGATATAATCAAAATATTGGTCAGAATTCTTCATAAAATATCCATCATGACAGTCTGTTTTATTCCTAGGAGAGATCATTTCTGTCTTAAGCTTTTTTCTTACACAACTCTTTTAGCTGACCATCTTCAAGGTTTATGTTTATTTTAAAAATGACATGGACATATTTAGTTATTCTCTTTTCCAAAGCAGACTTCTAAAAATTTAATATTATTCTTGAAGTTGAAATACACTTTTCAAAGAAGTGAAAATATCCTTAAACAGTGGCAGGATTGGCAGCTTAACAGTCAAAACATGAAATGTTACTGTTATTTTGCCATATCACCTAGGAACACCTTGTGCCTATTTTAACTGTGTGACTATATAGCACAATAGCTGAGTGTAGCCAACACAAACACACCTATGCAGTTTATTCAGAAGAGCAGTCAATTTCATTAAACACACACACACACACACACACACACACACACACACACACGCACGCACATACACAAAAATGAGTCAAGACTGTAATTTTGCAGTGTTCAGGCAAAACACAACACTGACTTATGGAACTTTTCACTTTTCAGTGGATTTATCTGCCACTATGTAGACATAACCTATGATTATTTGAAGTGTAACACAAAAAAAAAACACAAAAAGACCTCTGAAGAGCATGTTTAGAAACTGTTTTGCAGATTAGCAGTTATTATGAGTCCTATCTATCTCTTCCAATATCAGAAGACGTTGGATTCAGGTAGGGAAAAACACATCAGGAGTGATGAGACAAATGAAAATTTAATATCAAACAGTAAAAGAACTCACTAGGCCCCAGATTAGAATGAGAGATCCTTCATGTTGATATCAAAGACAATGCTTTTCAAAGTTTTTTTTTTGTTTTTATTGCTACTTAAACAATAATTAAAGTAATTTACTAAGCGCATGTGGTCATGTAAATGTTCTTATTGCAGCAAATATTCCCAACTTGGGTGAAAGGTACTTAGAGGGATTTCTAATGCCTCAAGTCTGTTCAAAATAGATAGTATGTAAACAATAAATAAACATAAAACATGAGTTTTGAGCCAGAACTTGTTAGTTACTCAGAACTTCAGAGGCTGCCAAATGGGGTGAATTTGGGAAAATCACTAACATGAAGAAATTTCAAAATGAAATGTAATACATATGGTCTGTAAACCTTTCAGAAGAGAGTACAGGTGGAATGTCTGTTTCACCTAGAATCATTGTTTAAAAAACCCATAAAGACAGGGTTTGGGAAGATGGGGCATCATAGGTAAAAAGTCAAGCTTGGAGTCAGGACAAGTCTGCATTCAAGTACTGCTCCAGACACATACATGCTGGCTGTGTGAACTGCGGGGTGGAGATGGTGGTGGTGAGTGATGTCATTTAACCTCTCCATGCCTCCAGGAAAATCTTTAAGAACTGATTAGGTGCAGATCTGAATGTATAGAAGGTTTCCTCACTAGGAGTTCCCAACACAGACTGGTTATTCACAAACAAAACAAAACAGCTTTATGACCTGTAAGCCTTGCATTTCTATAGTCTTTTTTTCAGGATTGACGCAAAAGTGAAAAGGGGTTCAGATTCTCCAGTTAGGACGGTGAGTTCCATGAAGTCTTAGAATTTAGGGAATGGTGGGCACTGACACTGAAGAAACTTTCCTTCCTGTTTGTACAAAAACAACTATAACAACTATAAGGAAGGTAAGTATTCTTATAGTAGGTGATGTTATAGAATAGATTTACTATAGAATATTTTCTTCTATGAGGACCCAAAAGAAAGTTCTGATAAGACAGTTCAGATTTCACATTTTTATTTAAACCCAACGCAGATTTTCATATAGCCTGTCGCTATGCTACATATTTAGTCACCCAGACAAATGATTTTTAAAGCAGTTTTTGGGATTTATAGTTTTTGTTTTCCAACTGCAGTGGAAGCCCTTTAAGGGTTTGGACCCTGGCTTTTTTTGCATGTACTCATGAGACATTTAGTTGATTATCCAGTTCTCCTAAATTATAAAAGATTTTTATCATTTTTTTATGTTACTTAAGATTGGTTGGGATGTTGCAAGTGTACAAAGAGAAGAATATACTTGGAGCCTGCTGTGGATGTCTGCAACATTTGTTTAACAAATTGTCCATAATTGGAAATATCTAGGTCCCCTTCTAGCCTCAAGGTAAATGGGAAAATGCAGCCAATTATCTGCCCAGTCAAAGTAGAAATTTTTTTTCCCCCTCAAATGTCCAGAGAATTACAACAAAAGAATTTTCTTTGGCCTGAATAATCAGTTTTCATATTGGATTTATCAGTTGATGCCTGGTACATGTATGCCTGAAGGAATAAAGGATTATAATCCTTGGTACTTCATTTGGAATTCTAAGAGAAGATTTTCTCCTTCTGTCCCTATTAGTAGAATTGATAAATATTTTCAATGTCGTAAACATTGCCATAATTGGATTATTTTTAGTTCACTGTCCAGACTGCCATGAGAAACTAGGTCATCTTAACTGATAACAGCAATGACAATCAAAAAGTCTATAAAAATGTTAGTTTTGAAAATCTTTCCTGTTATCAACTGTACTTGGGCATCAATAGTCAAATTGTACTAATCGTGCACAGAATTCAGTTAATGCAAGTTGCATTTGTGTAATTTTATAATGCAACATACATCTTACTGGTATTTTGTGCTCTTTTTTTCACTGCCTTCCTCCCATTTCCATTATTAAAGAATGAAAAGAAATTTGTATGTTTTGGGTTTTCTCAGTATTATGAAATTTTCTCAGTATTCTCAGTACTTGAAACTAAAAAGGAGACAATTTCAGTAGTTGAGTCTTATTGGTCTGATCAACATCTAAAAAGACTCACAACCCTGACTTCTGGTCCAAAGAAGGAAGGGAAAAGTAACACCAGTAGAATCTGCTTACTGGGAGAGGTCTGGGAAACATCCAAATACAGTCAATACACATTCTTTGTGAGAGGTGAAGGTGAGCAAAGGCCCCATAGGGATTTCCTTGGGTTAGAGAATTCTCTATCTGAAGGTCTGTTTATGGCATTTAATTTTTTTCCTAGAAATCGGAATGAGAGGGAGAAGGAAAATCTGGACAAAGAAGAGATGAGAAGAGTAGAAACAAGGCTAGGAAAGAAGAGCAGAAGGGTGATAACATGGAAAGGACATGGAATGATGGGAGGGATGAGAAAAATTAGTGAGAGGATGAATGGACTATTTTGTGAAGTAATGCACCATCAGTGGAAGTGTTCAAGCAGAGGATGGGATGACAAGTAGATTGAAGAAGGGGTTCATGAGATTAAGACTGATTGAGATGAACTCAGATCTGTTTCCATTTCATATTCTGATAATATAGAAGAAATGGAAAAGGAAGAAATTAGTGTTTGGGGATACATTTCTTTAAAAGCCCACATTTGTAACCATGGGCATTTAGTATTGAACCAAGATGAAAAAAAGATGTAGAGGGAAAAATAAGCAATTACTAAAATTACACAAATGAGAATTTTAAGAAAAAGGATGAATTTGCTACCTCCAGTGCTTCCCTCCTAATTTCATCCCACAAAAGGAGTAAAACTACAAGATGCAGATCTAATTTGAAATGGAACTAGGAAACCCTGGAGTTGATGCAGGTCTGTTCTAAGATTAGGGTAGGTAGAACCGGATCTCAAAAAGCCATATTCACCAGCACTGACTCAATCTCCCTATTGTCTTCTGAATCAAGACTAATTGAGCTGTAATTTTCATGGACATTCTGGACCCTCAAAGCAGGCTTCAGGAGCCTTTCTTGAAGACTTTCAGGTTTGTACCTGCTGTTTTACATCCCTCCCTCACTAATCCTCTCATCTGCTTTTTTCTTCCCTTAATCTTCCCCAAAGTGATGAGTCTAAAGTTGGCTACTCTGTATGAGGGAAGAGATAATGTGAAATCCACATCAGAAGTGCATGACAAATGAGTGGGCCTTCTACTTCCACTCTCTTCTACTCATACTTTCTTTTTGCAGGAAAAGTTTCTCTCTCTCATATTCCCCCTATCTCTAGGTGATAGGGTAATGAATTCCAGAGAATCTTCTCCTTAGAACCAACTACATCATTCTAGCATTGGGTTTCTTCATCCCCATAGGATTTAGGGGAGAAAAGCTACCTACCACTATAGACTTTTTGATTGTCATTACTGTCATCAGTTGAGATGACCTAGTTTCTCATGGCAGTCTGGACAATGAACTGGTCTTGCTTCTTCATTTCTCCCTGACTTCTACAACCTGAGAAACTAATGTTTCTGCCACTACTATTTCCTGTAGACATGAAAAGAAGATTTGCAAATTAAAATTCAAAAATTTCTGCAGCCACCTTAAAGTGATGGGGAGCCCTCTGGGTGTCTAATTTCTGGGAATAAAGGCAAGGATTTCTTAAGGTATACTAGGGCTTTAAGAAGCATATGAAATGCTAAGTATTGGATATCTCCCCTTAAGTTACTAAGTGCTAAAGTCCCTAAACTGGTGGGCAGGGAGGAAGAGAGATAACTATGGTGTTTGTGTACCATTATCTTTAATGCTTCCTGGCTAGCAAAGGCTACTGAGTCTGAGAGCACAGTGAGAATTATACCACTACAGACCAACTTGGTGAGACAGGGGGAGTCCATGCAGTTTGGGACCACATTAAAGGCTTGAGTCAAGCAGAACTTCTAATGTATTACCTGAAAGTTGAGTTTTGTCATTGGCACAAAAGCTCCTTCAGGTCCTCTAAATCAAACATGGTATAAGCTTAAGGTCAAGCATTTGGGAAAAAGACACACATGCTCATTCCTACAGTGGTAGTTTCAAGTTCCTTTTTTATTAGCATTTCATTCTCAGTCACTATTGCCTTCTTATAAAAAAGCTTTTTATGGATTTTATTGCTCCAAACCTGTACAATAAGCTAATGTGTTCAATCAGAAGTACATAAATGGCTATAGCTTAAAGCTCAAAACATTTTCTTTTATTGCTTTGGCAGTTTTGAATGTTGAAAGGATTAGGTAGAAAGAATTTCCATCAGCACGGAAAAAAAACTCTGAAGTGATTCCAATTCTTTTATAAAAACACCAAGCTATCCAAAGATAGTCAACTGTAAAAACATGACCCCTAGGCAATTCACTATGTCACTGTTCCCTGTCAGTACATGTTATGGCAGTGAGGCCATTCTTAAAGTACTCTTGTGGCACAGTGCTATACACGTAGCAGGCACTTAATAAGTGGGCAGTGGATTATCTTGTACTCTTTACTCTTCTATTTGGAGAATGCATGGCACCTAAAACATAAACATTTGGTTATATGGCAAAATCAAATCACACTGGGGAAGGTAAGAAATATCAGTCATATATATTTGTCTTAGTCCCTCCTAATATGGTGTGTTGTGGAACAACAGCACAAAATGGTGGTCTTGCTTTATTAGATTGTTTCTGTCTTGCTGTACCCTCTGGAATCCTGCAAAAGAGCAGAAATACTGGGTAAGCAAAGTTCTTCTCAAAATACAGTCTTTAATATTTACAAGATTTACTTAATACAGTCTTTAATTACTGACTTTACTTTTCTAGCAGCTGCCAAAGCTATATTTAAATAAGGTGATACAGAAGGAATGTAAATAAGCCAAGAACATGGCAAACTAGTGATAAACACAGGCATCTTTCCTCCTAATTTTCTTATTTTTCATGTTGCCACTGAGATGATATTCAGTTATTGATCAGGCTTTAAATGACAAATTCCTGAATGAAACAGTTGACAAAGATTGTTTTCAAGTATTAGTGTGATATCTCTTGAGGCCTTACTGTTATCATCTCTGCTGCAGAAAAAGAACTTCAGACTGCATTTATTGTTATACCATGTCCTGACTCCTTTGTCTCCTGTATTTCTTTTGCAAGTGTTCAGGCTCTTTTTATCTAATTCATAACTTTTGGTGAAGTTTGGGTGAAGTTAATGGCTGCTATTCACAGACAGGATCTGCTCCTTCATTCAGTGTATAAGAAAAGATTTGGAGTGGTCTGAGATTAGATTGGGACTAGATGATGGGCTGTTAAAGCTTCCTTAACACATCTCCAGAGCTCCCCATGAAAAACAGCCTTAAGATCTAAAGAGAAGCTCAGGACACTCAAGAATGCTCTCCATTGAACTCTCTGTTAATCTGTGTTACTGACCTGAAGAAAGAGAAAGACTGTAGTGTTCTTATGATGTCACTTAAAGCAAAGAGCTAAATTCTTCAGATAAAATAAGGGCAAAGGTGATGTTCTGTCCCTGGAATTTCAAAAGATCTGATCCCACACAACTTGTGGGTTAGTAACATAAACTCAAGGACCTTTCCAAAATAGAAAGTTGTTCATTTCTGCAAGACTTTTTATAACCCATCTTATCTGAAATTCTCAAACAGTTAACATAACAGACAACTATAAAAGAAGCAGCATAGAGGACAATTCAAACTCACTTTGATAATGAGTCAAGAGTCTGTTGGGTGGCTGTTGTCCTTTTATCTTGAGAGCCATACAAGAGAGTCTGAATCTGAAGACACTGCAAAATAAACCATTTACCAAGTTAAATATGGAAGTATAACTAAAATAAAACTGTAGGCACCTAACATTTCTCCTGAATGATAGACTCTCTTCCATATAGCCATTACATGATTAAATTCATGACCATGAATACTCCCATGAAGAAACAAAATTTCCTTCTGGGAATTTGGAAAACTAAGGAATCTATGTGTTAAAATTTTTTTTTAAAAAAGGAACATTTAAAGAAGCAGCATGTCATCATAGACAAAGCATTTGTACTTAAAATATCCAGGTTTGGATCTTAAGTCCTGCTACTCAGTAGCTATGTGAGTCCTAGGCAATCACTTAATTTCTTCAGAAACTCAGTTTCTATATTTTAAAAATGAAGATATTATACCTACCTAATAGGATTGATATAAGGATCAAATAAAATTATGTAAAGCACTTTTAAAACTCTAATATGCTACATAAATATAAGCTATAATTATTTGGGAGGCAGCTTAATACATTGAGACAAATCAGAGGACCTGAGTACAAATCCCAGCTTTGCCTGTAAGACCTGAGATAAGTCACTTGACTTCTCTAGCTCTCAGTTTCCTCATCTGTAATGCTGGTTACATCTACAATCCTATTTATTGACCAGAATGACTTCTTTTTCTTTAACCTTAAGAAAAAGAAGTTTTTCTTTAAAAAAGCATCTAATAAAAAATTAAGATTAATGAACATCATTCTATCTATATTCTCTTTCTATTCTTGTTAATGTACACTTATGCCTACTTGTAATTGATATGCTGACTTGATTTTGTGTTCTTTTTTCTTTTAACATTTCATTTATGATAGCTAGCATTTATATAGCATTTTAAGTTTTTCAAAGTACTTTACACATATTATTTCATTTTATAGCTCTCTCTACTTCAATGCAGAAATGAATAATTCTTCAGACATTTTGAAGGGTTTAAAAAAATTAATAGCAATAGATAGCATATTGTCACTGACCACAGTAGCTGAAATAAAGCTATTATGATTCTACCTAGCACTTATCTCATTTCAGTTTAAATGAACACCCACAGCCTTTTAGCACAAATTTAATATGAAACTTTTTTTAATTGTCAAGAATAATTTTGTAATGTGCAATATTTATATCCTATAATAAAAGAATATTAGATATGTAAAATGAAGATAATAGCATCTACTTCATAGAATTGTTGTGAGGATCAAATGAGTTAACATGTGTAAAGCTCTTTGCAAACCTTAAAGTGCTATATAAATGCTATTATTATTGTTATCTGGAAAATAAGAAATATAAAAAAATCATAAAGTCCAGTTACCCATTTTGCAGTTGAGGAAGCTGAGGCTCAGAACCTGAAATGACTTTTCTAAAGCCTTTTAGAATCATATGTTCATTGTTATATAGATAATTGTAACTTCTAGTAATCTAGGGGTGAATTATCCATTTGTAGATTACCTGGCCTCTACTTTCTCCTTCCTATTTCCTGCCTTAGTCACTTCAATCTTAGTATTCCTACCAGAATTTGGACACACAAAAGGGGAGTGAAATTTAAATGAGTTTATAAACATTTTGACAGCTTTACTTGAGAAAAAAATTGGTGGAAATAGGGTTAAAGTTAACAGCTAAAACAATATTTGGGGACTAATTTTAGATCTTGTTTATTTATTCTCTCTCTGCTGCCATTTTCATATGCCCAAGATAATTATACATCAAGCCACCAAATGTTGTATCCTTTATGGGCTCAAGTCTCTGGAAGTTTTACTCAAGTCTTGATAAGACTCCAGGAATGCAGCTGTTTTGTTTAAAGTTCATGCTTTGGGAAAGAACAAATCTGGTAAAAATGAGCTTTTTAAGAACTTTAAAAAGTTTTTGGTTTCTAATACTATATCTTTGCAAAAAGACTTGGCCTTTGAGAATTTATAGCTCAAGGATGGCTTTCATCTGGAAATGCCATTTTTGAAGTTTGTCCCTGGCTGCTATTGTCCTCTCTCTGCTAATTGTCTAACATTCATTCCTGCACTGAAGGAATATGCTTTCACTTGGCATCAGGTTAATGACTGAGTAGAATGCTATGGCCTTGAAAATAGAAAAACTTTAGAAAATTATTTATTGTTTTAGGATAACAGAGAAGAATCTTGCAATTTTTTTTTGTATCCAAAAATTCCATCAGAGGCTTTTTTTTTTAGCAGATGACACTTCCTACCAAAATAGACTTTATTTCCTTTCTCTTACAAAACAAGAAATACCTCCACTCAGCTTTAAAAGGTCATGTTTAATTTTAAATATATACTGTCTACTATATTTACATATTTATGAGAGCCTTTGATGCAGTTCATTTTGAGAAGGGCTGATGTTAGCATGATTTTCTGTTAACTCATTTACCATAGCATTAAAATGCTCAGATCAAATGCCACTTCCTGAGGCTTTTTCCGAGCCCACCAGCTGAAAGCCCCCTGCCCCCCCAGTTACCTTGTATTCATTTATGTTTTATATACATTTATATGTGTACATGTTGACTTTCCCTTCCCAAATGTGTGTATATATGTCTATATATACATAGACCTACATACAAATGTGCATATACATATATAAGCTCCTCAAGGGCAGGGGTTGTTTTGTTTTTGTCTCTGTATCCCAGTACTTAGCAGTGTTTGGCCACACAGCAGGTGCTTAATACACACTTGCTGCTTGAGTGACAGTCTACAAAATGTATTTTTCTGTTTCACTGTACTTAAAATTTCCAAAACTCTAAGGAGAGAAAACCCAAGTAGTCCCTAGTAGTTTCAGTGTTCACCATACACTTCCATAAAAATGATCAGGTGTTTCACAGTTTATGAAAATCATCATTAGTCTGTGTCCTGATTCTCTGACCCTCTTGGTGGCTGAAGCTGGTGATAGCTCCTTAGTAGCTCTATTACTCCAAAACCAAAAGGTCAGGACAATTAGAGCAGGATGTATCTGCCATTCTGTGAACTATGTGGAGCATCGAAAAGCCACACGCATGCAACGTCTCTGTTTTCTAGATCTCTCACCCAGGGAAATTATGCTCTTTGTCTCTGGCTAAAATCTAGCTCAAACAGTCTTAAAAGGATGCCAGATTAGAAAATCGAACAGATTGATAACATATAACCAAAGCTGAAATTATGATTACTATGGTCAAGAAGGTCATGTTAAATAAAGAAGACAGGGTAGATAATCTTTCTATTAATCCAACAGAATGTAAATTAGTTAAGGGCAGGGATAATTTTGTTATATTTTTGTTTTGTCTTTGTTTACCAAATGCTTGGCCTCATACCTGGCACACAGTAGGCACCTTAATAAATGGTTGCTTAATGAAGGAATGAGTAAGTGTATGTAGTAGTAGTTTTTCACACCAAATGTTTTCATTAGTGACCTGACTGGGGAAAGTTTTAAATGTCTATAGTGACATTAGGCAAGAAATGCAAAATGAATTAATTATAAAATATGTACTGCCATAATTTCATTTCTTCTGTGTTCGAGTAAAATGTACTTCCATTTTACTTTAAAAACGTAGACAGTGACTGAGGCAAAATGAGCAGAGACCACCAGAAATCTTGATGTTTGGATGTTCCACAGTTCTAATAGCTTGCATTCTCTGCTCTCCAAATCTTTCCTACCAAGGATTCAAATGGCAACCCTTCTTTGGATTCAGCAACACAAAGTGAATTTCTCGTTTTGGTTTGAAGTTGATATAGAATTGGAATGAAAAGAATCCAGATGGATTAAAAATGTTGCTAAGCTTTTTTTTTATTTATCTGCTGTGAAATAAATGTGTCAAGTCACTTATATTTACATTCTACACCATAAAAACCAAGCGTTTAAAAATTATTCAATAAATATTTTATTAAGTGATTGCTATATGTAGTATGTGCTGGGCATACAAAGACAAGAGTGAAACCATTCCTGCCCTTAAACAGCTTATATTCTAATGGGAGATATGACATACATTTATATAGGTATATACAAAGCACATTCAAAATAAGGTTATTGGTGAGGGGAAAGGGAAGGAAAGCACTAGAAACTGGGGGATCCAATACAGGTCTCATGTGGAAAGAGGCACTTTTACACAGTCTCTGAAGGAAATCAAGAATTCCAAGGATCAGCAATGAGAGAGAGAATTCCAGGCATAGGACAGTAGCTGGTACAAAGCTATGGAGAAGGAAGATGGAGTGTTGTATGTGAAGATAAGTAGATCAGCATAGTAAGACTGAAGAATGTGTGGAAGGAAGTAATGTGTAATAAGGCTGGAAAGCCTCAATGAAGCCAGATTGTGAAGGCATTTAATGAGAAATGGGAGTTTATATTTGATTGTGGAAGTAATAGGGAGCCACTGGAATTTATTGAGTGTGTGTGTAGTGGGTGGTGGTGAATGACACGATCAGATCTTTTAGGAAAACACTTTGCTGATTTTAGGAAGCTATTGCAAGAAAGAGGTGATGAGGGCCTGTACCAGGGTGGTGGCATTGTGAGAAGGGATAAGGTAATATATGTGAGAAATACTGAGGTAAAAACTATAAGATTTAGCAATTGACTCAGTATGTGACAAGGACAGAAGACACTAAGTTAGTGAATCAAGGGTGATTTAAAAGGATAGTGGTACCCTTAAGAAATATAGGGATGTTTGGAAGAGGGCAGAGATTGAAGAGAAAGGTAACAACTCCAACTTTGCACATGCTGAGTCTGAGATGCTTATAGGGCATCTAGTTCCAAATGTCCAGGAAGCAGTTTGTGATGTGGATCCAAATCTCAGAAGAAAGACTAGGGCTGGACATATAGATCTGGGAATCTTCTGCATAGAAATGATAATTAAATCCATGGGAATTATAAGGTCATCAAATGAAAGAATGAAGAAAGAAAAAGAAGGCCCAGGATAGAGCCACAGTTTAGAGGCATAACATGAATGATAATCCAATAAGGGAATCTGAGAAGGAAGAGATAAGTAGGAGGAGAACCAGAAGAGAACAGTGTTATGGAAACATAAGGAAGAGAAAGTATTCAGGAGGAAGTGGTCAACAGTATCAAATGCTGCAAAGAGATAAAGAAGGATGAGGCTTGAGAAAAGGCTATTTCATTTGGCAATCAGGAGATAATTGGTAACTTTGGAAAGAGTATTTTCAGTTTGATGATGTGGTTGGGTTTAGAAGATGAGAGGAAAGGAAGTAGATACAAGTGACTGCAGATAGTTTGACTGAGAAAGGGAGGAACAATATAGGGTGATAGCTAGCAGAATGATAGGGCCTTTAAGGATGGAGGAGATGTGGGTGTTTTTGTAGACAGTAGGGAAGAAACTAGTATATAGGGAGAGAGTAGTAGGGCAATATGCTGGAGAATAAAGGAGGGAAATGAATCAAGGGTACATGCAAAGGGATTAGCCTTGGTGAGAAAGGCCACCTCTTCAAAAGAGACTGAAGTAAAGGAGGAGATAATATGGGATGATGTCAAGTGATAGAGAAGAAGCCTATAACAAACGGCTTTGATTTTTTTCAGGTTGGGGAAGGGAATACTATGTAGTCATGTCAAACTCAAATAGAGATGGATCCCTACAGGTCACATACTGACTTGGAAAACCACAAATTGACATATATGTTGTACTGCATTTAAGTTTATTTTGTTAAATATTCCCCAATTATATTTTAATATGCTTCCCAGCTACAGGTCCACCTGCAGCCCTCTGGGAACTTGACATCTGTACTGTGGGAGACTTAAGGGGGGAAGAACAGACTATTGAAGGAAATTGTTTTGTTGCAAGGAGAATGAGTCATCTGGATGGAGATAGGGTAGAAGCAGGGGAGACACTGGCAAGTTTTTACCTGTGAGCTATATAATACAAGAATATGCAGTGGCTTGTTTGGCTTGCCAATGGGCCATACATACTCTTACAAAGTCCATTGATCTATGTTTAGTTTTAGTTTTTCTTTCCCAAGTATATCTTCTTCCCTTGCCCTTATTGAACATCACTTTTTTCTGGCACTGGAACAACCTACTTAAGGATATGCTAAGTATCTGATGAAGATCGTTCATCTATGAACTTAATGTTCATAGATGAACATAGGTGTTCAAAGTTATTTCAGTATCTAAGTCCCTGAAAATTCTAGATACCATCTTAACCTGGACAATCTGGGCAAAAGTACATTTCTGTTCCTCAGTGTACACTAATTGCTTTTGGACCCTCTAAGTAGCTGAGTAACTACTAAACAGCACAGCACAGAGGACAAGCATGATCAATGGATAGGAACAGAGGAAACCTGGGCTGAAGTCTCTACTCAGCTGCAACCCTGATGTGTGACCTTGGGCACTTAGCATATCTGAGTCTGAATCTTGTCACCTATAAAATGAAGGTTTTAGATCTGGGTTAATGAAGGAATGAGTAAATGTATATACTAGTAGTTTTTCACACCAAATGTTTTCATTAGTGACCTGATTAAATGTATTTCTATTTTACTTTAAAAACACAGGCAGTGACTCAGGCAAAATGAGCAGAGACCACCAGAAATCTTGATATTTGGATGTTCCATAACAATTCCACAGTTCTAACAAGGGTTAGATTTGGTATCTCTAAGGTACTTTCCAGTTCTAACATTCTGTTAAGTCAAAATCACACCATGGTCTCAAATTTTCTTTATCAATGTGTTTTTTCTTGGTCAAGTTTGTGTATTTTTTCGAGACACACACAGAAACACCTCAAAAATAATGTTAATGTTCACAATTAGTGTTGATGTTTCACAACATCAATTTGTATTATAAAACAGAATTCTTTGTGTTTAACACCTTTCTCCAGTAGCCACTGTAAGACTGCTTATGAATTCTTTTTGAATGTTGTCACCTACCTTGAAATGATGGCAGTTATACTTGTTTTAGAAGAAAAACCAGGGTTTTATAATGGAAAAATGTTTTGATTTTGAGCACTGAAATTCCCTTTGGAGGCCAACAGAATCCCTGTGTTTTCATTACAGGCAGATAAATGATCTGGTATGCTATTTAGTAATTTAATCCCACCTTCTGCTTTGCTTCCTTGGTCTGTTTTTCATACCCTTAATAATCATACTTTAGACCATTCAGCACAAGAATACATCTGGAAAAGCTACAGTTAAGTGGATTCCAGGCTACTAAGCTGGAAACTTAGGAACTGCAGCTGCTGTTGTGATACAAATAGCAGAAAATCCACACTTAGCTGGTAACTTTAAGAGCTGCTGGCTTCACACAACCCAAATGCTAAATGTGGCATTTGAAAAAGTTCCCATTTAGCAGCAGATGTAACAGAGCCTGCTTTCAGTAATCACTCGTGTCCTGCATGTTCACTGATGAGCCAGCCACTGGCCTTACATTAAGTAAAATGATTATATGGGGGGTGTGCGTGTGTGTAGTATGTATATATAATATGTGTAAACATACATACACACAATACACAAAACATAAATACATGTTTCAGTGTCTTTCTCTAATTTTGGTAAACTGCTAGATAAGCTTATGTCTTTTTTGCCTTCACATTTTGAAGACATTGTGTTTGGAGTTTATAATTAATAGAATTTTAATGTATAAATTGAAAAAATAAAAGGTTGCCATCTTTTATTTGTGCCAGGGCTCATTCCAAAAATTACTTATAAATGAATTGATCTTTAGCTCCTAGAAACCAATAATGAATGTGAGTCTATGTGACTATTTCCCTAGGCCTCTGTCTGTCCTTTAAGACTAGATCTCACATGGAGGCAGTGAGGGTGGTACAGTGGAAAAGGAATGAGACCTGGAGTCAGAGGATTTGGGTTCAAATCCCACCTCTGATAATGCATTTAACTTCACTGGGCCTCAATTTCCTCATCTGAAAAAGTGTGGGTGTGGGGTGGGGGTGGGCCTGACACTATGAAGCTTCCAAGGTCTGTTATCCTATATATTTATCCCTGAATTCTTCCCGATACCTAAGGATAGCTGTTATATACTCCATCACCCCTCTCCTACTTCAATCCTGATTCATGGAGACAGATTTGTTCGAAGAGCAGAGGTCAGGTGATAGAAAAGTGGTAATCCCTGAAATAAGCAACGGTGTGTAGCTTAGGACCAGCAGCTTATGAGCAGGGACCTATAACAGCTACAACCCTTAGTTTTCCTTATCCTCTTAGATTTGTAGGTTATTAAGAGCAACTTCAATAGCAGTGCTCTCCACAGAGGTTGGCAACAGCCCTAGAAATCAAAAGACAACCAACCAACCTCACTACAAACTTTGTAATGCTATGTTTAGGTCTAGGGTCCACATTTTATTTAACTTATTTTTTATATATTTTAATTTTACATTAACTTAAATTCTGGATATTCTCTTCCCTGCATTTGCTACACAGAGAATTAATCCTTATAATTATAAACTGGCTTTTGCATGTGCCCAGATCTAAGAGCACCTGAGATGGAGGCACCTATGTGGGAGACTGCCTTTGCAACCAACAGACAGCATGAGAGGTAGGGGCGAATTAAGGTCCCATTTACCCACAGCATGGGCACCATGCTTTGAGCTGGGTGGGGGAAGGGCTACATTTCAATACTGTTCCCCCAACACCCCCCCCCCCCACTTTAGGCCCTGTAACTCAAAGAAATGGTGTTTTGGTCTGTTCTGTTTGTCTTTTTCAGGTCTAGGTGCAAGCTGAGACACTATAAATGTAAACACGTCCCTCTTGGTGCTAGAGTTGGCTCTTTCACTCTTGTTAGATATTAGTAAGCCCTTCCTTCTTGGTCTCTATGTTTTACATGTTTTCAGAACTAATAAGAAGGTTCTCTAAGAATAAGATTCAGTTAAAAATGAAATCTGCAGAAGATTACTAGCTAAGAAGTTGATATCATCTGTGGTTTGTTCAGATCAAAGGTGATATCAGCTTACTAAAATAAAGCTTTTCCATAGCCCTAAGCTCCACCCTCCAGTTCTCACTCCGCCCTCTCACCCCCCCCCCCCAACAAATGTTGAGGGAGGAGTAAGTAGGCATTTGTCTTGACTTATTATTAGGTTTACCTTCTTAAATTTCCTGTATGCCATGTTCTGGTCTCCCTGTGCCAGGTCTGCTTCTCCAAGGAAACAGTAAGTCCCTGCCACTTCAGGACTGACATCCCCAAATGTTGCTACTTTGGCATCTAGTGACTCCTTCAGTATTTGAGCTGCTCTCTATAAAAGGAATAAAAAACTATTTTGTTGGAAAGGTTCAGAAGTTGATGAAGAGCAAGTTGACTGTTAAGAATATTATGTATTTTTACTCTTTGGAAGAATGAAGTTTTGTACAAATACCTTATAATATTCTTCATCTAAACAAGAGACAGGAATGCACAACTACATTTTTTAAAATGTGAGTATGTGGTCTAGGACTTTTGGATGATATAACTCTATAAAGAGAATGAAGCCACAAAATTAGAAGGAAAGCCCATTTTGGTATTTCATTTGTTCATTTTTATTGAGTAGTGAAATAATTTAATATTTTTAGTTGAAAGATCTTCTTCCACTCATATAGGAAAAAAATCTGTAAGCTATTCTTTCTAATTTGGATGCTTTCATAAAATCTAGGATGCATTCCAGAGTATTTTCTCATAAATAATTTCAGATACTAAAAGTAAACACAGAAACATGACATGACATTTTTGTTTGGTTTAATTTATTGGAATATTTTAATCCCAGCTATGGAATTAAAAAAAACAAACCTAGAGTTGGTCAGAAAATAATGAAATAATGCCTTCCTAGCTAATCTCTATAGTTATTCACTTGAAAATGCTAGGAAAAATATTCTGTCAAAAACATTTGAATCTCCTACACTATGTACTGGAACTTGACAAAATCCTGTCAAAAAACATTTGAATCTCATACTCTATTTGGGGGGGGGGGCTTAGGCAATGGGGTTAAGTGACTTGCCCAGGGTCACACAGCTAGTAAGTGTTATGTGTCTGAGGCCGGATTTGAACTCAGGTCTTCCTGAATCCAGGCCAGTGCTCTATCCACTGCACCACCTAGCTGCCCCTGAAACTATTAAAAGATATGTTAAACTGAAGATTAGCTATAAGTTGCACGAACTAGCTATGGAATATTTTCAAATATATACATATATGAATGATACTTTCATGTTACATATATGTACACACATACACCTATATGTATAGATGCATTTCTGTATATCAGACAATATGGATACCTAGTCTCAGAGTCAGAAAGACTTGAGGTTCAAATCCCACCTATGACATATACTAGCTGTGAGACTGTTAACCTCTCATGCTTCAAGCTACTCTCTAAGACTGTAAGTTGTAGAGCAGATGGGAGATCTGCATTGGTACAGAGAGTTAACCTTTACCAATGAAAGTACAAGTCTAGTCCTAAACACACACACACACACACACACACACATTTCAAATGAGTTTCATGGGTTCAGAAATATAGGTAGAATTTTTTCTTAAACTTGAAGTGTGATTTCATTTGTGGGAGAAGCTTCACATAAGGAGCTTCCTCTTCCAAGGAAGATCATCCCTTCTGCTGTACTTCAAAGTCAGAAAGAGTGCTTGTGGGCACTAAAAGGTGATGTGATTTTTCCAGAGGTGAGACTTGAAACCTTGTCTTTCTGACTCAGAGGAGTATATCTCTATCTACTATGTAACACATTAGTAAAAGGGGCCTTATTTTGGAGACTCAAAGGCCTGCTGATATATGCACAATAATAAAACAAATCATTTAATGGTCTTACCAATATCAAAAATTTCTGCTAAACAGAATGAAATAACCTCTTAAGAAAAAGAAATTGTGCTTGGCTTCATTTTTTTTTATCTGTTCTTAGATTTGTTAGCTATTTTGCTTGCCTGATAGCGTGTCACACATTTGTTGAAAATGAATGGAACATCAGAGAAAGAGTGGAGTCTGCAAGTGTTTCCAAAGGAAATGACTAACTGGCTGTATATGGCCAATGAAGGGAACAGAGTTTAGGAGTTCTCTTTTCAAATGACTTGCATACTTAGCTTCTGAGTCATACAAAATAGAAAAAAAATCAAATTAATAAATGTTTTTAATTGACTATGTACAAGGCACATAGTGAAGAATGACCTGACTAGTTCCTTGCAATTGGTTGTTTTTCCTTTGTTCTCAAAAAGGATTAATAACAACACACGAGTGGTGTATAGAGTTGTGAATGAATTGGATTTAAGTGAGGCAGAGCTGAACAAACTCATCAGCCTCATTTTCTCCTCCAGACTCATCAGAGGTCCAGGGGAAAGACAAAAGTCAAGATGACTGGCAAAGGCCCTGCACCTTGCACTTAGTCAAGAATACAAAGAAGCATAAAATAGTCTATGCCCTTAAAGGGCTTATAATCTCACTGGGTAGGTGAGACAGGAAAAGTTAAATAACAATAAAATATTTTAAGTAATACACAACAAGAGAGGAGTATATCTTAAGGCATGATTAGCTGCCAAAATGAATTTTACAGCTAAAAAGTGCTTCAAGAGTTTGGAGGAAACTAGAATCATAATTAGGGTGGGGCTTGTTGGAAGGTATGGAAAGAGCTGACAGCATTTTCACTCTTTCTGCAGCATAGAAAGACATGAGTTTAGTGCCCAGTTATCATGAATAATTAGTTAAACTAGGAAGCCAGCAGACACCCTGTTTCTGTATGCCAACCTCCAGCCTTGTCGCACACAGATTGTTCCCTGGCCCATACTACATGGCAGGGCGTGGACTCCCCCACCCCTACCTACTTCTAGGTGTTTTATGGTCTTTTTCTCCTCATCCTTCCTACCTTTCCATGCTCAACAAAATTCCTAGTTATGGCTTTACAGGAAGGAAAAATTACTCTATGTTGGGGGGATCAGGGAGCATTTCACAAAGCAGGTGAAACTGTGCTGAGTCTTTAAAGATCTGGATAGAGGGAAGTGGGCAGAGCAATCTAGATGGGCAAGCCCAATGAGTAAAGCAGTTTGAGTGAAGGAAAGGGGTTGTATAGGGAAGCTGTGCAAAGAAAATCTAGAAAGGTTGGTGCTAGATTATAGAGGGCTTTAAATATAAGGCTAAGGGAATTGATTTTGTCCTATAGCCAGCAGGGTGCCAGTCAAAGACTCTGAGCAAGAGAATGACACAATAAAATTAAAAATTCAGAATCTTATAGCAGTGTTTACATACAGATGAAATATTTGAAACCTCTAACCTACAGGGTGATTCTGAAATGTGAAGGATAAAGTGTTTCAAACAGTTTATCTGCAGGATTATCTTCAATATATATTAGTATATGTAGCAAAATTTTAGGCCACAAACTGTTAAAAAAGGATGAGATATCAGCCTGCTACCATAGCACAGAACAGCCAATGGTAATCAGAGATTCTATTCTAAAAGCTGATCAAAATGGCTTATATGTACTCTGGGTTAGATTTTAGGGTGCAGGGATCAATAAGACCATCTTCAACTCTTTATCTGATGAAGACCAGTGGCACAGATAATCCAAAAAAGCAGGCTATCTAAAATTCATTTATATTTTGCTTTGGAATGAATCTGGGGGCAGAAGTTTTACTTCACTGCCATACTTTACTTGTTCTTCAAGTAATAGAATACTATATGGACAATATTGTATGAAAATGAGCTCCTCTTTTCCACATATGGGTGTATATGCATGCATGCACACATGCATGCGCGCACACATACAGACTTATTGCAGGGTGTAGGTGACTCAAAAAGTAGACAAAGTGGCAAAGGAAGCCAGCTTGGTAATAAAGATTTGTCACACAAAACCTAGACTTGTTTTGATTTTAAAATAAAAATGTGGCATAACGTGGATCTTTGGAAGTTGTTAAATTTTAGGGATAATGGTCAGATAGCTCCTATACATATTCATAATTAATACAAATTCTGAATGTTTGGTCCATCTTCATGTTCTGTGACAAAGCACAATCGTGTAGTTGATTGACAAGTGTCAGTGAATCAGAACTTCTACTCCTGTGGTTTCAGATGAATGCACTACTTCCCTCTATGGTCTTAAACAGGGTTCTCTTTTCACACTATTAATTACTACATACCAACTACAGCTATAGCTCCAGCCATGGAGTCAAGAGAGATTCCATTATTAGTTTATCCATCAGTGTCTCATGTTTTCAGACTGCTGTTCTTATGGATACTTCTAACCATTTTGAAACAGTCTTTTGAAGATCAAGTTGATTTCCCATTGTAAAAATCAGCACTTAAAGCCTTTGAATTGAAATCTGTTAATCCCATTCCAAAATTCTTACCTTTAGTTTACCAGTAGTCCGAAGAAAACGACAAAATTCATCTTGAATTGCAAAAAATCTGTCATTGGCTATTCCTCTGGCTTTCTTAAGGATAGTCATACTTTCTTGAAAATATTGCTCTGCCACATCTACGAAAAAAAAAAATTAAAAAAATGAAGACTGCCACCAGATTTGGAAGGAAAAGAAAAACATTAGAATAACATGTTTTTGGTAATGATGATCTATCTGAAAATTAGTAAACAAGCCCACCAATGAAATGAATGAGATGAAAAGATTTATGATAATAATAGCTAACATTTATATAGTATCTTTACGGTTTGCAATTCATTTTATAATCACATTTTAACAATATTTTTCAAGTTTTCAAAGCCCATTTTTATACAACATCTCATTTCATCCTTACAATAACCATATGAAATAGGCAGAGTAGGTATTATTATTCCTACTTTAACACATAATAAAGAAGCTACATATCAAGCTGAGAGGTTAAGTGAATTGCCGCATGACCATGAAGCTAGTATGTCAAACTGGTTTTCCCAGGCCTTCATACATCTTAATTTTCTCTTTAAGAAGGCATAAATATGACAATTTGTACAAGAGAAACAAAAATCCTCCAGACAGGAAATCAACATGCATTTTTTTTTAATACTGGATAGTCATTAGGATCTGACCATACAATACTGGTTCCTTACTGATGCCAGCAATCTAAGAGTCTGTTTATTTTTAATGAACCATAACTTGTCTGACTGCATAATGATGTAATTAATCATTATATCTTATCTAGGACATAGCCAAGAATGTGGAAGGAAGCAAACAAGGTTTCTGGACAGCCAAAATGAGTATATAAAGTTCATACACTAAAGATTAAGCAATTTCTTTATAGAAAAAATACTCAAAATTCACTGCCTATTTATTTTTCTTTTAGATACAGTGATAAAGTTTCCTTAGATTAGATACATAACTTAGTAATTTTCATTTTAGTAATTTTTTGGGCCATAGAGTCAAGAGAGATTCCATTGTTAGTTTAACCATCAATGTCTCATATGTTTTCAGACTGCTATTCTTAGGAAAACTTCTAGCCATTTTGATTAGATGCAGTTAATTTAGAGCTGGTAAGGAAGACAGATACAGGCAGGCACACAGATAGCAGCAAGAAGTGACAGCTGATAGAGGGATGAGACAGAAAAAGGACCATAAAACACAGATACAAGAACTCAAAAAGCATCACAGCCTAAAGCTATAGCAAACGTGGCAATAAGTCCTAAGGGCATTACTGTATTGATTTTCACCAAAATGGTTTTATGATTTTTTTAATTGATTTTCATGATAACAACCATAAGGCTTCAAGAAAAGGTTAAATTCTATTTTGTCCCCTGTTTAAGGCAGGGAAGTATATAACACATTTTGGAAAGTTTTTTACCAAAAAATAAAAGGTTAAAATGAAAATGAAATTTTGGTGTTTGAAGGGAGAACTTCCATTTGACCTTATTCCTGATTTTTTTTTAAGGCTCACAGAAAAAGGATTAGTTGGTGTGGAGGATGGGGGTAAGGCAAGGCTGGGGAGGGAGGGGGAGATAAATGAAAACAAATAGTTCTTCACTCCATGACGCCAGTACTAGCTGATACTGTACTTTTCCTCCATTGGATTGTAGGAGTAACTGCCCATAAAAAAGGTCATAAATAAGGAGTGTGTGTGTGTGTGTATGTAGCTTGTTTTTATAGTTTGTTACATATAGCTTGTTTTTTAAAATATATATATATATGCGCAATATGTATATATGTATAAATTTAACATAGCAGAACTAACATCACCCTGTCTGTGTCCTCTTCAAACTTCATTTTCATCTCTTTTATGTTATCTAAAAAATATTTCATTAATGTTCTTTTTTTTTGTACCACTATCACTAGTTCCCCTGTACTCTCATAATTCTGTTCCCCCAATAAAAGCCCTCCACATTGTGATGTAGTGTAAAGAGCACTGGACTCGAAGCCAGCAAGGTGTGGGTTCAAATTATACCTTATCCACTTACTGTGTGATTGTGGACAAGTCACTTAACCTTTTTCTGTCACAGCTTTCTCTAGAATGAAGGAGTTGGACTCAATGGCCCTCAAGGACCTTTCCCTCTCTAAATCTATGATCCTATGGTCCATGTGATAAACAAGACAAATTTATGTTGTACTGGTTGTGTTTGAAAATGCACATCTCATTCTATACCCATAGTCTCTTATCTCTCCACGAAGAGGTAGGAAACATGTTTCATCATTAATTTGCTGGACTTGTGATTAGGCATTGATAAGAGTTTTAGTTGTTTTCTTTTCCAGTGCTGTGATCATTGTAATTAGTTGTGTTGACCTCAGCATCAGTTCATACAAGTTTTCCCAGGTTTCTCTAACTCTATTCCTTTTCATCATTTCTTATGATAAAATAATATTCTATTATATTCATATACCATAGTTTGTTTATTCTATCACTGATGGACATCCACTTTATTTTCAGTTCTTTGCTACAACAAAAATGGTGCTATTAATATTTTTGTATAAATGGGCCTCTGTCTCTTACTTTGTGGTATAAAACTAGTATGTTATCACTGGATCAAAGAGTATGCAAGTTTAGTGACTTTTGGAGTTTAGTTTTAAATTGCTTTCCAGAAAAAATCTCCCAATTTACAGCTCCATCAACAATTCATTACTGTTCCTATTCTCTTTACAGCCCCTCCAACAACTGTCATTTTCCTTTTTTGCTACCTTTGCCAGTCTGATGGGTGTCAGATAGTGCCCTGGCATTGTCTTTTTCATTTCTATTATTATTAGTTATCTGGAGCATTTTTTACATACCAACCATAATTCTTAATTGATTTTTGGAATGATTATGTTGTTTTACTTAATGCTGAAACAATTTTTATTTGATTAAATACAACAAATACTGAGCATCAATATAGCATCTATTCATCTGGTTAGAATAATATTAGTAAAATTAGGTTTAATCAGAATGCTATGAAACATAGGTTTCAAAGTGGATGAGACTGCCCCCTGGGAGGGCACTAGAATGATCCAGGGGGGTGGTAGTAGTTTGAAATGATGCAAATTAAAAAAAAAACCCAACTGTTAAAGGGTTAAAGAAAGTAGATTTCCAGGGGGGCACTGAGTAATTTTTTAAAAGGGAGTGCTAGGCTAAGTAAGTTTGGGAACCTTTGGTATAGAATAAAGATTTATGACTAACTGAATATTTTGGCTAACTCAGATTTAAGTAGTCTTCTTTTCCTTGATTATTCAGGGTCTTTTTTAGTTGTGAAGATTAATTTTTACTGTACAGTATGATATAAGTCTATATAAAAGGCAGAGGAGTTTGACTAACACCATTTTGTGTTTGACTAATACCTGGTTAGTTGAAGGTTTTGTTTATCAAGATTTAAAGTGATAGTACTAACACTGTCCTGCCTTTGTCCTCTTCTAAACTACCTTCTGCTCTCCTTTGTATGTTACCTTCTTTGCTTTTTTTTTTTGGCATCACTATTTACCCTCTCCCACTATCATTAACTTAAAAATGGCTTATGTCCAAAAGTTATTTTGTACACTGGTTTTGGAACTTGGAACATATTTTTCCATAGATATGATTAGTGCTTACATTTTCTAATCAGATAACAAATACTTATCTAATCCATAATGTAGCTTAACTACATGAAGAACTAAAAGAACTAGCCTGAATTTTAGAAGCAGGTGAAAGAGGCTAGAAGACAATTTATCCTCTCTTTCCTGGGTATAGAGTTAGCTCGTGGACAACATTTTGAAAGAGGTTAAGTTTGTATTTGGTATACTTCTACCTCCTGTTCTATTTTCTCTAGTCTCCTATGTACCCTGAGCCCTCATCCTTTAAAGCTTGAAGTATAGCTGCACATATGTTAAAACAAAACAAAATCTATTTACGAAACAGAATATAATTAAGTTGTCCTCTCTGTCACAAAATACCAACTGCTCTGTGGAAGTTAAATAACTATCATTTCTGAACTGTGTGGCAGAGTAGAGAGAACACTGGGATTAGAATTAGAAGACCTAGTTTTGAGTCTTGACTCTGCCACCAACTAGTTGTATGACTATGGACAAATTCACTTAACCTGTTTCATCATCAGTTTATTAATCTATTATAATTCTTATATTGCTTGCCTAATAAATTGTTAATTATCATCATCATCATTTGTTTATAAATGACACCTATAATCCTTTAGCCACAGAAAATTATTATATATACTTTTATGTATGCCATTGTGGATGTTTAGCAACAGTTTTCCATGGGGAAGGTAAGCATGGCTCATTTATAAGGACTCTACCTTTGAATGACTGAATTTGTTCCATGAAACTAAGTGCACTGGAGGCCACGAGTGGCCAAAAAAACCTTTGAACTTCTTATACATGGTGTCCAAGATAGGATATTCTCTACTTTAGAAAGCTGATCTTGAATCGTCAGCAACTTGATATGGACCTCTGCAGAAGGTTAGATCATTTTTTAAAATATAGGAGAGTGAATCAGTCTGCAAATCTGAAATTAGCATCCACAAGAGCACAGGTGCTTGACTTGACTCCCAGTGTCATCAGTCTTTCCATGTTTTCATTCCAACTGCATTTATAACTAGTAGGTATTGAGGAAAAGTAACTGCACAGAGAGTCTGTGTAGTTCTTTCCTTTTTCCATGTAGTTATTTTCAAGTGAAGTGAACTGAAGCTTGCAAAGGAAGTTAAAGTCAAGCAAAAAGGTTTTTTTTGTTCTAGTTTTGTTGGAGGTCAGAGGAAGATCAAGGAAAGGATAGATGAAAATAAATGAAAGAAATGACAAAACTATTCAACTCCTATTTTGATTGTTTTCTTTATTAAGAAGAATGATATTGATGCAGGAAAAGATAGAACAAAAAAGTTGACCATGTATTGGGAATGAGGGATAACACAGGGAGAGCCTCAAAGGTGCACTCATTCATATCTACAACACATTTTTAAGAAGGAATCCAGAGTACAGTAGGGAAACTCTCTATGGAGAATTTATGGAGAGACAACAGAGAGAAATTGCAAGGATGAGAAGGCATAGATTAGAGAGTAATATGTACCCAAAATGAGCAGCTAGGTGATGCAGTAGATAGAGC